CTTTTATTAAATCTTAACTTATTGTACATTAACATTTAGGGGAATTAATTTTTTAAAAATTTTATTGTAATTTATTAAAAATCTACAAAAAAAAAATCTTTAAACTTTTTATTGTTTAAAAGTAATTTAATCTAAAACTAATTCAAAATCATATTAAATTTTTGATGTAAGAATTAGCCATATTAGTAACCTGAATTAACCCGAAATTCTTACCTAGAATCTAAGTCCAAGTTGTAAGCCCGAATTTAAAAGTAGAAGGATAGGTTAGGCTTGTGTTGAGTAGTTAAGGTTGAAGATAAGGTTAGGATTAGACTTGAGTTTAGCATTTCATGTGATAGGTTGGGCTCAAGTTATACCTTAAACCCGCCCAACCCGCCCGAGTTGCAACCCTATGTGCTAGTTAGGCAACTTGATCACTGATACACCCGTCCAGTGAATTGGACGCTCTACTAATTAGGCAACTTGATCACGGCCCATAGTGTCAATTCAATTTGCCAAAAATATTCAACATTATTTTGGAAAAATTCTTGGATGCATCATTATTCTCCAACTACATTAATCTTTTTTTCATTAAAGTTTCATTGGTACATATCTTGACTTTTGGACTCTTCTACAACTGTATGCCTTATTCCTAGTGAAGCCAATCTGTCAAGATTGTGGGCTTATCAAAACCCAACTCAATCATGACACCAAATTTGTAGGGACCCATTATATTTTTCAAGAAAAAGCCACAAAAATTTTAAAAAGTAGAGAGAGATTTGAAAGCTATGTTTTAGTTTATCAGTCTCTCTACTTGCCTTAGAAGGTTGTTTTAGGGCTTTTTTGATGTTGCAAGAATTTTTGCCCAGCCTCCTATCAATTGAAGGCACATTACCTCTCAATTTGTCATTGCTTGAAAAACTAGGAACCTAAGCCTATGGTCAGTGCTCAGTAAGCAAATGTACCTAATTGGTTTTTGCCTAATTAAGGTCAGTGACACAGGTTTTTGATGCTTAAAAGCTCAATCTCTTATACAAGTGTATCATGGGCTCCAGTGAGTTCACGTATATATTGTACATGGGTCAGATGCATATGTGACTTAGGTGTTATATATATGTGACGTAGGTGATGTGGTGTGCTGCATGATTGATTTAATAGTTCATGGAATGGCATGGGACGGGTGAAGAATAGGAAGGGATCTGAATCCCAATTAACACAGGCTTGTTTTTGTCATGTGTATTCTTATCCTTATCAATGGGTGGTGCTTATCCCATCCCAATATTCGATCCAAATTTAAATTTATTAGACTTGGAAATGTAATTTTGACATATATTTAAGATGAATCGTATGATCTTTAGAATATCCTTTAGGAAATTGATCATATCTTCACAAAATTGTGTATGCATATCAATAAGATGTGAAAGTGGAGGCGAAATTATATGCATTCACTTCAAATTTGCTTCTTTTCATATTTTATTGATTTCCCTATCACTGCAGTACAGTCCTGGCGCGTTGAATAACTACAATGGCTCACACGTGTAAATGACTGTATTAACCCGTTACAGTACTCAAAACTCCTCCAACCAAACATAAGAAAGAGACAACTTTTGTTCTGCACTATTTTTATTTTAATTCTTACATACTCCAAATTGAAAAGGATTCCCTCACGAGATGTTACAGCCAAACTACTGTGATAGGAGCTTGCAGGACTTTGTTAACAGAACTACTGCCGTACTCGCAGCAATGGGCTATGCTAGATGCCACTACATAGGGACATTTTTGGTACTCCATCAATTTTTTACCTTTTTTTACTTTCCAAGGTACTCAATCGAGTAAACATTTCATAGAAGCAAGGGAACAAAAAAATAATAATAATAAAAGAATAAAATAAATAATAATGACATATTAATAACAACCATTTCTTTCGATTAAAGAAGATAACATAGAGCACCAAAAATCGGTTGAGATTGACAGCATAGTGGGGGTGTGATGACAGTTCAGTGCACATGCATTGACAACACTCAAATAGAGCAAATGGACTGATTATTGGAGAGTTGGTGGGACCCAAACCCATCCAACTGGACTCAGAAATAGCACATGATGCATCACTCTCTGTGGACGGTCCAGATCAAATCACAAATCACACTCTTTGTTGATTTAATTTGGACTCTCCGATGGGATTTTCTCTCTCTATATCTAACTAGACAAAAAGAGTAAAAGACAAACCTTGTGAGTAATTTTTAGATAAACACGATGGTCTCGGCGGTTATTGGTTCTCGTTTAGTTCCAACATCTATGCTAAATATTGTTAACAACGTGAGTGCTTTTCTTTCACGTTATTCCCGCTCATTTATTCTTTTCGTGAAGTTATTTGGTCAGTTCATATGTTGGCTATACATGTTATTCACAATCCTCTTCGAATATTGGAATTATTATTATTTTTTTTAACATTATAAATGATGAAATTTAAAATTATAAAAAAAATATTATTTATATCATTACTTCTGCACCTTTGTAGAATAGAATATGAACAGAAGATATTGATCTATAATTTAAAAAATAACAATAAATTATAAACATAAATAATTATCTAATGGAGCCTAATTAAATATATTATGATGAAACAATGATATTACTAAGTACTCCTTTTGTCCCATATTAATAGTCTATTTTTTATTATTGATTGCCCCATTTCAAAAATCAACGCACTATTTTTATTAACATTCTCAATTTATCCTTAAAAGATAAAACACATCAAAGTGTCAAAATGGTGGATCCCATCAAAGAATAACATTTAAAAGGGATAAATTTAGAAACTAATGTAATAAAAGCTAGTATTTTAAAATGTGTGAATTTTGAATCTGGACACCTATGATGGGACGGAGGGAGTATTTCATTATAAATTCTACATGATTGCATTGCTAATTATTGACTAATTATTGACTTATTTTTCTCTCGCCCCTTTGCTTATTTTAGTTGGCTAATGTAAAAGAAGTTAGCTTACCTGAACTTACTTTGTTTTAGTTAGACTTTTATTAGAGTGTGGTCAAAGTCCTAATAAGCAGGGGCATGCATAAATTTTGAATCACCTTAAAGAAAATTTACTTTATTCGAAATGACAAAAGATGCATCAGATACGGTTATCTGATCACAATAAATAAATAAACAAAATAGCAAATAAATAAATATAAATAAAAGTGAGCAACCGCTGATACTACTTTACCAATTGATAATTTCCATACAAATTTGGAAATTATCCCCGCTCTGACTTAATTTTGCGAGTGCTCCTCCTTCATCTTTGCTGAATGGTGGTTGGCTATGATTGGTACATGAAAATTTGCGGAAGGGGGAATGGATATTTTAGGATTGGTTGTCTGCTGTTGCTGGGGTATTTGGAAGGCTCGGAATAAGCGTGTTTTTAAAGGTGCGTGCTGGGATTCTTATCAAGTTGTTGCTATGGCTTGCTCCTAGTTCTGGGAGTTAAAACCACAACGTAAACTTCATTCATTTGCCCTTCACTCCAATTGTTGTTATGGGGCGTTAGTTTCACCTTTTTCTGAACCCTCTCCGTCTCCTTCCCGATGGATGCCTCCAACTGAGGGTATGGTTAAATGTAATGTTAATGCATCTTTCCTTTCTTCTTCTCGGATGGGGGGTGGTGGTGCTGTTTTTCGGGTTTCCATGGGGCATATTTTGTGGGTGGTGATTTTTTCTCCTTTTCCTGTTGTTTCTGCACCCGTTGCTGAAGCCTTATGTCTTCAAAAAGCAGTGTTTTGGTCTTTATCAGGTTCTTTTCCTCATGTTTGGTTTGAAAGTGATTCTTTACTTGTGGTTCAATCTGTTTTGGGAATTGATCTGGATCCAACTGATTTTCATTCAATTTGCTTTGATATTCAGGAGGCTTTTCGGCGATTCTAATCCTCTCATCTTAGCCATGTCTATAGAACTGGCAATGAGGTCGCTCACGCTTTGGCGAAGCTTTCTCATTCTTATATTTCTACGGATACTGCCCTTGACTTTATTCCTGTCGATATTCTTCATTTTGCGGCTAAGGACAGTTGTTCGTGAGAATGTCTGTTTGCTTCTGTTTGCCAGGGTAAAAATAAATAAATAAATAAATTGACAAGTAAACACTTGTACTACTTTATCAATTGAGATTAACTGAGGTTTCTACTAAAACGGTATAATTACAAGTAAGAACAGATGTTTAATCACAATAAACTTGTGTTGTATTTGGTGTACATGAATGAAATGAAATACAAGTGGGAATAGAATGAGAATGGGAATGGAATGGAATGGTCATTCTAATTCTATTGTTTGGTTGTAAATATGAAATGTGTAGGAATGGAATGATAATAATCATTCTAGTGTTTAGTTTGACCAATTTAAAATTTAGAATGAAATAAATTTCAATTTGAGTTCTTCAAAATATCCCTCTTAGTAATAAATAAATTAAATTAACAAAATGACATTCTTTTATAATTTTTTGAAAAATAAGTCGTAGTGTTAGTGGAAAACGGTGGTGGAAGTGGTGGTGGTGATGATGGTAGTGGTGGAAGGAGGTGGCGGTTGTAACGACCCGAACTCGTAGGTTCGAACCGTAAACCAGATCCTTACTCGAACCCGAGGTCCACCTAAGTCCAGGGTTGTTACATCATTAACATATACAAAATATGATCAACAAAGATCCTAAACGACTTTCCAAGACTCGTGGATAACTATATTGGAAGGAGAAAACAAAGTGAGCAACCTGCAGCAAATCGATCGACTAAAGTGGTCCTTCGATTGACCAAAATAGCACCTCTACCGATCAACCGAAGTGCTCATTTTGGTCGGTTGGTTATGATCTGAATAGTAACTGAAGTGTCTGGACGGTTCGGTTGATCGAAGTACTCATTTCGGCCGACCGAAATGATCCTGCGAGTTAGAAATTCTGCAGAAAATGCCATAAACCTAGGAATGAAAAAAAATCTACAATGGAACTTTAAAACTGAGTAGGTCCATCCCATACACATGCAAGATTGATGAATAAAGATTACAACTTTCACCTAAGATTTATATCAACACATTTATATGTGATCCTTCACCAATCTTTAACAAGAACACAAAACTTACAAAATTTACATGTCTGAAAGTTATATTTAAAACATTACAAAGGACTTAAGCTCCTTATACAAAACATAACTTCAACAAAGGTCCCAATCCCATCTAGAATTGCGGTAGGTTGTCGTCCGCTACTTCTTTTCCCGAACCTAAAAAATATTAAATAATAGGGTGAGCATAAGCTCAGTAGGAAGCGTCTAAAACACACTTCTTATAACCCCGTGAATCCACGTAAAAAACAAGTAAAGAGGGACGGAATCATGCTATAGAGAATAGATTTCAACGACTACAATGACGAGTGTATAACAAATGTCGTCCTATCACAATCACACCACATATGTAAATGGAGTGCAATGTTATGCAAATGTCGCTCCCCATTTCCGAAACATTTTCGTTTCAAATTTTAAACCGTTAGTGTAATCCGACCCAAGATATCTCTAAGGCGTCACGAAAGAAGGGTTGGCTAACTATCCACGACCACAAGGAACCTCTAAGGCGTCGCATCCGGCCTAGTTAGCTCAATCACACTCCTCTCTAGACTACACCAACACCACGAACCACTAGGCGCCTCCTAGGCATCCGGTTTTTGCAAACACTTTTAGAAAAACCTTTTTCCAAAAACAATTTCATTTGTTTTAAAACACTTTTTCCCCTTTTTCTTTCCCAATGGATGCATGAATGCTTCATACTTCAATTCATCAATTAAACCATAGAAGTTCACATATACTTTTACAAATAAATTACTAAAATACACAACTCATACTTTCATTCCATATATATTATTCTAGCATATTAAGCATATGAATCACAAATTCCATTTCATATAAGCATACTTAATCACAACATATCCATTAGCACTTTGTCACAATTTCATATCGGGCATTTAAGCAATTTCCAAGAGCTTATACTAATTAAGCATGTAATTTAACAATTTATAATAAATTAATTCACAAAAATATAAGAAAACCATGTATTAGAGGCCCCTACCTCAATAAATGAGAAAAGCCCCAAACTTCCCAACACCAAGCCCTAATTTTGAACTCCCTGGGATGCACCAAAACTGAAATTGCTTACACCCACTTGTAGGTCTTGCCATGCTTTCCGTTTTGCCGTAAACAGCATCCAAAAATTCCCACAAATGAGGGAGTAATTGAAACTTGAAATTGTGAAGAAAAAAAAAAAGAAAAAGAAAGTGAAGAGGGAGAGAGAGCTAGCCAGGAAGAGAAAGAGAGAATGAGGTCTAAATTGGCCTCTTGGCCACTAAAACTTAGTGGTATGTCCTACCACTTGAGAAAATATCCCACACTTTGATTTTTCACCACAAAATGCATATATACATGCTCTAATTACTACAACCACACAAATTAACTCACAATATTAAAACTATACACAAATAAATATGTATGATATGCAAATGGTCTAAGACACAATTCCCCGTGCACAAAATTTCCGGTAGCAAGCCCCACCTAGGACCGTCAAGCCCGAAAAATGGAAAAAAAAATGCCGAAATGGCAACCGGTGCATTTTCAAGAGTCCTAAACTCAATGGAATGCCCCAACCAACCATCGGACCTACCCGGCACACCCCATAGTGTCCGATACGTAAAACAAGAAAAAGACAAAAATGCCCCTGAATATTAGAAAATTCCAGAAATGGGAAAATAACAAAATTTCAGAAATATTACAACAGTGGTGGTGGTGATGGTGATGGAAGAGGGTGGTGGTGGTAGCGGTGGAAGGCGATAGTAGTGGTGAAAAGAAGTGGTGGTGGTGGTGGTGATGGAAGGCGGCGGCAGTGGTAGCGGTGGAAGGCAGTGGCGGTGGCGGTGGTGAAAGGAGGTGGTGATGGTGATGGAATGTGGAAGTAGTGGAAGGCAGTGGCGGTGGTGAAAGGAGGTGGTGGTGGTGGTGGTGGAAGGTGGTAGCGGTGGTGGTGGCAGTGGTGGAAGGTAACGATGGTGAAGGTGGTGGTGGCGTAGTAAAAAGCGATGGCGGTAGTGGTGGAAAGTGGTAGGCAGTGGTGAAAGTCGATGGCGGTGGCGGTGGCGGTGGTGGAAGGCGGCGGTGGTGGCGGTGAAAGGCGGGGGTGGTTGTGGTGGAAGGTAGTGATGGTTTTTAGACTTGGAACATGAGAGGGATTTTTTGGGAAGTTGATTTTTAAAAAAATTTACTTAGAAATAGAATGACCATTCTATAGATTTAGTTGTGGAATAAATTTTTATTTCCAGGAATGGATTTTCATTCCAATGGAAGACCATTCCCACTTTAAATTGCATATCAAACAAAGGAAGGGTTAGAATGAACATTCCATTTCATTTTATTGCATTTCTGCACACCAAACACAGCATTAGAGGTGATGAATAAGCCTTCTACAAATTCTAGCCCAATTTAATAATTCACGCAATACTAATTCAATTATGCCCTTAATTTATCACTTGTTACAATGATATATACTCTGATATCATCAATTAATGATTTTTTTCATGAATTGTATTACCAATTTTAAACTTGATTTATTATCAACATTAAAGATTAAAATTACAACTTGATCAGACTTGTTTTCATACAAAATATTACAAATGACAAAGTTTCATCTCACAATACCTTTGTTAATGATTATTTAACTAAAAACTAATAAGTTTTGCGCAAACATATTTAATTTTTCATAATTATGATAATCTTTAATTTTTTAAGTAAAACGGTTTGAGGTCTCTAAAAATATTCCATAATCCGTCACCAAGTATACGTCTTTCCGTGATTCCATCCCACATGCATCCCAATAATTGTCTTGTATGATCGCAAAGGAATTTGGTTTAAATCTTACCCCAAGTAAAAGGTAGAATAAGGTAGCACTAGTTAAAAAAAAAAAGAAAAACAAAAAACACAAAAACGGTACCTCTCAAAAAAAAAAAATAAAAAAAAAAAAATAAATAAAGAAGAAGAAAAAAGCAAAAAGAATAAGATAGCACTCAATAGATTAATAAATGCTCAACTTTTTGCTACCCAAAAGTTAGCACGAAATCTAGTTTGGTTAATAATACAAACTTCTTCGGTCCTTTCAAGTTTCAAATTATACAAGTTACCTAAACAAAAACGTTTTAAGTCTGTGTAGCAAATGTAATAATATAGTCAAGTTCACACCTCCCACATGGTGGGACATAAAGCTAGTGCACTAAAACAGTACGTGTTAAATTTCTTCTTCTTTTTTATTTTATTTTATTTTAATATTTATTTTCCATCACTATGATTCAATTGCACACATTAATGATAATTAAGGTATGAAAGTGAAAGTGTTCTTTTCTTTACCAAAAAAAAAAAAAAAAAAACCAGATAAGATGAAAAAAAAACAAATAAATTTGACCTTGGTATAAGTTTTCTTTGACATATTAAATAAAAAATTGAAAATCAAACTTTATGAAAAAATTGACCTTTGTTATTTGATGTATTGGGTTGCCCAAAACATTCTCATATACGCATAGTTTGCACTAATTATATAGCCACAAATGAGAAGCCTTAAAAAACAACTAAAAACTAAAAAATAAATCCAAAACTAATATATATATCTTCATCAAAAACCATTTTTGTAATTAACACAACTTAACGTGATATTAAGTGATAATATAGCTGACATATTATTTAAAAGAGTAATTTTATGTAATTAAGGGTACTGTTATAGTGATGTCATGATATCTATATATATATATATATATATATTTTTTTTGGGACAAGTACATAAGAATGGGTTTTTTTTTTTAAAAGAATTTAAAGTAGTATTACCATACATATTATACATATATAATATGAAAAAACAAATTATATATATAGATACGCATATAATATTATATACATATATAGAGAGAGCCGCACACTCATAATCCCAACTAGAAAACAAAATGTCGGTTCACGAGGGCGCGCATTTGCGCACGAAAGCAACCAAATAAACAGAAAAAACATTAATGGCTCGCCTTTTAGCTAGCCAAAAGCAGATTCCTGCGAGAATTGCTGTTGCTGTCAAAAACCACGATCACATTAACGTAAAATTCTCGCAAATTTTCTCGGGAAAATGGTGGTAGGAACCCCTATCTCACACATTATCCAACTCATCTCGGGAAAATGTTGGAGAAAACCACTCTTTCCCACGGTTCTCCAAGTCAGTCAAACCCTAGCGAGATAATTCTTAACGATAACGACGCCCCATCCGTGATTCACCTCTGGTCTCTCTCTCTCTCTCTAAACATAGAAAGACAGTCTCTCTCTATCTAAACATAGAAAATATCTCATCTATATATATACATACACACACTAACTCTTTGCACTTCACGTAAACCACTCGTACCTTACACGATACTCTGCTCTTTGTGTATCTTCAATTGCTTGACATACTTGTCGTTGTTTTTGACAAATTCAAATTATTTTCCCATTTTTTTCTACTGTCTTAGAATATCTACTATGTAATAATTATATTTTAGATAATTTTATCCCAAATTGTCGCATTCGTTGATTGATTCATCATTTGGTCACTATAAATACAAATTGTGCTCACCATATGTTTGTATATATGCGTAGTACTTGAAATTTAGGCATTCCTGGTGTTGTATGATAAGAAAACAATGAAGTCTTTGATTGTGGGTGTTGTGTTGTCTCTGTTGTGTGGGTGTGTTTTGGGTAAGGAGTGTACTAACATTCCTACTGAGCTATCATCAAAGACTGTTCGGTCTTCGCTGTTGGCTTCGAAGAATGAATCTTGGAAAAAAGAGTTGCTATCGAAATACCAATCCCTTTCGAGACCAACAGATGATCCATCTTCGATTTCTACAAGTTTTCTTGCGAGAAGGGTGTTATTGAACGAGGACAATTGGGCGATTTTGTCCAAGAAAGTGAGGAATTCAGCTAGTTTTCAGCTGCCTCAGACCCTCAAGGAGGTGTCTCTTCATGATGTGAGAATTGACCCTTCATCAATTCATTGGGTGGCTCAGCAAACAAACTTGGAATACTTATTGATTTTGGACGTTGATAGCTTGGTTTGGAGCTTTAGGAAGACGGCTGGGTTGCCAACCCCCGGCAAGCCATACGGAGGTTGGGAGGCACCCGATCAGGAGCTCCGGGGTCATTTTGTAGGTTAGTAAATCTTTAATTATGTTTGTTAAGACTACGAGTATTTGATTACTGATTCATTGATATTCATATATATAAATTTTTTTTTTACTTAGTGTGATTATGTACTGTTCTTTTCTTCATATATACAGTAACATTTTGATGCCTAGGTTAGTTAATTTGTTTGTTGCCTTACCAATATTTGATTACTGATTCATTAATTATATATATGTATATATATATTATCACTGTTTTTTACGTACTTCATTGTGTGCTTACTACTTTTGTTTTCTTCATATATACTCATACTATGCAAATAAAAGCATTGTTTATAACATTTTTGATGTCTTTCTGAAACTTTATAATCAATTCTATACATTTGTATAGTAATAAATTTGAATAGAGAAATAGGCCTAGAATGAAGGATTTAAAATTGTTCTGCCTGTCTCATTTTTGGAATTGTGATTCAGCTTACAGATACTTAAATAAAGAGTCCCAACCTGGAAGCGTTTAACACTCCAGGGTTATAAATATTGTGTTGTTTTTGTCTGTTGGAGGCAATTTTTATGCTATGAGTATGTTGGTGCGGCTGTCCATGTTTCGTAATTACAATCTGGGTTTGTAGTGTTTTTAGTTCCTTAAAAGGGGCGTCCTTCTACAGTTCTACCATTTACTATCATTGTTGGAGCAATATATGTGGGTTGGTCTGAAATATATATTTGGGTTTTGTTTTTTCAAAACCTTGATTAGTCCTTCATTCTGTGTAGTCTGTTTGTTTCTTGTTCTTTATTATGATATCTTTTTGAGTTTTAATTCTCCGTACTTCGTAGCAGTTGTATGATCTTCGGCTTTGGTTCTTGTGATCATAACCTGTTTAATAGCAACTATTAAAATGCTTTTGCAATATTGTAGGGCATTATCTGAGTGCCACAGCTTTAATGTGGGCGAGCACTCATAATGATACTGTCAAAGAGAAAATGACTGCATTAGTTTCTGCGCTCGCTGCCTGTCAGGATAAAATGGGTTCAGGGTATCTTTCTGCTTTCCCAACTGAGTTTTTTGACCGTTATGAAGCTATAAAACTTGTGTGGGCACCATACTACACCATTCACAAGGTAGCAACTGTTTCTAACACTATTAATAGTTGTTTATCCATTTCTGCTATTTGCTTTAACTTCTGAAAAAACAGAAGAAGTTATTTTGTTTCTGTTACACGACTAGTATCTTTGTCTTCTTTTCACAGATAATTGCAGGTCTGGTAGATCAATACACGTTTGCTGGCAATGAACAAGCTTTAAAAATGGCGATTCGCATGGTGGAGTACTTCTACAACCGTGTGCAAAATGTGGTAACAATGTACAGTGTAGAAAGACACTATCTATCATTAAATGAAGAAGTTGGTGGCATGAATGATGTCCTTTATAGGTTATACACCATAACGGTGCGTAACCCTCATCCACTGAGCTCCTTTAGCTGTTTTCCCTGTATATCTCATTCTATTAGAATAAGTTTAACTATTTGTTGGATATATCTCAAGTAATACAACCTTATTGAATCCGTTCATGTTTCATAGGACATTTGAGAAAACTTTATATGCTATTGTGGAAATTTATTTTAACTAATCACATCGAATGTTGTGGCTTCCTTTTATATCATTGGGTTTAATGGAAATTTTGCCCATCTCTCATTCTGAATTGAAATCGGCATGTAGTTTTACTGCCTTTCTATCATAGTAATATATGGTGCTGTAGTTCCTTTTACTGCAACATATCCTACCTTAAGAAACTAATCTCATTTCATGATCCTAGTAGTCAGCTTTAAAGAAAGCATCATTATAACAGTATTACACTTATAAAGTAAGCTCAGCTCCATCAATGGCATCATATATTATGAGGCTGTTTGTAAATTGTCCGTTTGGTTTACTTTTGGTATTATTAATTGTTTGTAGCTTTTTAATAATGTAGTCTATTATATTTGCAATTTTCACAAATATTATTTAACTTCTGTTCTGATATACGCGGTTTATTTGTTACCATGTGCAGCAAGATCAAAAGCATTTATTTTTGGCTCATCTTTTTGACAAACCCTGTTTCCTAGGAGTGCTTGCAGTACAGGTAGCTTGTCATTTTCTTTTCTATATGCTGCTCTAAGTTTCCTGATGGTTTTGGGTTTTTTTTTTCTGTAATCAGTACATACCATACCAAAGAGTATAGTTTTCATCTTGGAAGAACAATACATTGTTTCCTGTCATTATATCATTCGCTTGATGTCAAGCTAAAAGATAGATAGACTAGATAAATGAATTGTCCTTCCATTGTAATAAGCAAGGAAGTTGAACTTTCACATAAGCACTTTTGTTATGTACTTTGGATAGTCGGAAAATTTAGTTTATAGTTGAACACTTGAACATTTGGAACTTTTTCTTGGGGATGGGGGCAGCTCTTTTCCGGACAGATCTTGTAGAATAGACAAATTTCCAAACTTGGCATGGAACTATCTCAGAGCCAGTTTGGGGGGATGGAGGACTCATTATACTGTTCATAGGTGCCACAAAATATCTCTCAACTGCTTATCACAGTATTGCGTACAATTGATCACAGTCACCAGGAATAACTGCTTGTGTAGATGCACATACGCAGCTCACCATTTGTCAAATATATAATTGGTCTTGATAAGTACAGCATTTCAATAAAAGGCACCGTAGGGTGTGTATCCCCCTCATACATACATATACCAAAAAGGATCCTATATTTACATGCAGAGTCAGATTCATGCTTGATGATAGGAATTTACATAGACATGTAACTGACAATATACTCCCTATTACCAGGCGTAGGATTGAGAGTATGGCATAGAGTTGGTAAAGGTTCTTCTTCTAAAACTGAATGTTACGCATCAAAAGCTGGAGCATATCTAGTTAGTTTCAGTCCACACAGTTCTGTTGGCACTATAATTCAGTCAATCTTAAGTGGGACAGATCCTAATTTTGGCAGCATATGTTGTATAATTTCTTGTAACTAAAGCGGGTCACATTGACAATGTAAAAAGTTTAATAATGCGTGGAAGTCAATTCTGATATATTAATTTTTATTTGTAATATATATGGGAATCATTTTTACTGAATAATTCATTACCAGTGATTTCAAGACACATCTTGAATTAATTATTTTTCTAGAGTAATTAAAGCTTAAATCTGAGTTGATCTCTGATATGGACATATTGGTTCCTATTTCTTTTTCCTTATTTAAAGTTAAATCTTCTGAACTTCATTTTTTTTTCCTATTAAATTCAGAAATTAAATATACTACTTCATTAACTGATTCTAATGTTTCAGTTGACTTCTAATTAGTGAATGAATCGAATGATCTTATAAATAAGAAGTATGACTAATTTCAGGACAGCTCACATGACTTCGGAGACAAAAATATTACCAATGATTGAATGATGCTTTTTAATGCATTACTGTAAGTCAATGTGTTCACTTCTGCCGAAAATGCTGATTGGATTGACATAAACTGCTCTGTAGCTTCCCAGTTATCTCACAGATATAATGGAGATTTAATTCAGATCCCCTTCCCTAGCATATGTATTCTCAACAGTTGAGAGGAAAATTTTACACCTTGGCAAGAAACACACTTACACACCCACATTGCCCCTTAGGGGACTTGAACCATCGACCTTTTACTTTGGAAGGTGAGGAAGTACCACTAGGCTGCATACAGCCTTTGGTGTGTATTTTACTATCTGTAAGCCTGTATTGCCTTTTTAAAATCAAATGTGTTACAAAAACATGAAATTTAAATATATATATATATTATGTTTTATTTTTTGTGTTTGCATGACCAAATATTTAAATGTGTTTTCCAATTCCCCAAATAGTAACTAAGTGACAATAACAAAGAAATAGAAGTGTAGAAAAGGAAATAGGAAATGTGAAAACTCAAAACCAAAAAGGGCTTGATAAATTAAGAAAGCCTTAATTTGGAGGGTTGAAGAATTGGTTAGTTTTTGAAAATTCTTTAATATATTTAGTTATATTATCTGTGAAAACTGATCCATGCATTCCTTGTTGGGCTTCTAGGTTTTCTATTTAAGTAGTGAAAATAACGAAATACAAGCTGGTGTTATTCAATTTAACAATTCACTATTAGGAATTTAGACATGAACTGATTCATATTTTAATTATTCAAAAAATTGAATCAATTCATTGATCTTTTACTTCTCTCCTTGATGCAGGAAGCTCTGATACCAATTGGAATCAGTGCTTTCTACGTCAACTGCTATCTGAACTTCCAATGGCCTTCCTAATCTATACATCACAAAGCTTAGCATCGCATATATTCAAGATTTCTTGTGTATTTTGATTTCTGTGATTTAAATCAACCACATAATCCATATTATTCTTAATTCTATAATAACATTGCTAAATTTCTGTTTTTTATTTGTAGGCTGATGATATAGCTGGATTTCATGCCAATACACATATTCCACTTGTTATTGGTTCTCAAATGCGGTATGAAGTTACTGGTGATCCACTTCACAAGGTAAATGGCTATAATTCTTTTTAGTATCAGCCCTCAGAGCATCTTAAATGAACAAAGCATTTTTCTTGATTGCAGTTTTTAGTATTATTATGCTCTTTTTTTTTTTTTTTTTTTTTTGGCCTTTTGATATTGAGAGTTTGAACTTCTGGTTTATTACTTTGTCTAATCCTGAGGGCAAGAAGCTACTTAGGCAGCGACTTTTTTTACTTTTGTTTTTGTTTCGTTTCGTTTTTTTTTTTTGGTGAAACAAACAGTAAACAATAATGCTTTTGAAGTTCAGAGAAATAAAAATGAAGAAGGATGAGAACTCCTTTTACGAGTAGATAAAACTATCAAATATAAATAAGTGGAGCACAACTACTCATCCCTCAACAAAGTAGTTGTCCTAATAATCTAAAGGAGGTAAAAATAACCTCTAAAGAAGTAAAGCGAGAACCCTATTGGTTGGCGAAATAATCTACCTCCTTATTGGGCTTGTCAATGGATTGAATTTGGTTATAAATTCAGTACTTCAATACAAATTTGATAAAAAGTGCAGGCTCTGTCATCATTGTGATGAACCAAATTGAGTCCATTTGTTAACCAATGGATCAGCCTTGGCTTTATAGTGATCTGATCCAATTATAATCACTTACAATGTAAAAATATTAATACATGTAAAATATTTATAGTATAGTATTTATGCATAACATAAATGTAGTGCGGAAAAGATACATAAATATATTTCATTTGATTGAGAATTTAATATGAACCATTATCTTATTTGACTTGTGCTTAATTTTAGAAGCATTGCATTATTTTTAAAATTTATTTAGTTCCATTTTTTTAGTTTGATTAGACTCATCAGATTATTCTTTTAAGAGAATGGATACAGTCACCTCTGATTCCATTTAAATCTGATCCATTTCAGGTTTTATTCTGATTAATGGACCCAGAAGTCTAAGTTATATATACAAAATTGGAAGAACATAGATCCATAATCTCTATTATCAAATTAGCATAAAACCAATAATCCAAGGCTTCGGGTTTAAACCTGTTGCACCACATACTCAAATTGCCTTAAAAAATTGCCTCACTTAGGCATTTGACACAAAAATTTCTGCTTTGCCGGCATAATCTGTTCACTCTGGTTTGTGGAGTAGAAAACTGTAGTCCTTAAATATTCCTCCATTTCTATTGAGAAGCATTCCAGAGGGAGCAATCGTGGAAATTGATTTTAACTCTGCCCCTTTAGGTAGCGGTTTTCTTGCTGAAGAATGACTATTCTCATCGTTTGGATCATTGTTTTATGATTTTTTATTGCAGGAGATAGCGATGTTCTTCATGGATATTGTTAACTCTTCTCACGCCTTCGCAACGGGAGGGACATCATCCGGCGAGTTCTGGTACAAACAGTTGGAATTTTAAATAGTGTTTGATAATGACAACCATCGGTGGAAAGCTTTACTGCTTATTTGTCGTCTTGATTGTTGAATTTCCTATGTGATTCTGGTTTGTTCTCATTTCATTAACCCACGAACAGGACGGACCCAAAGCGATTGGCAACCACTCTGACAACTGAAACTGAAGAATCATGTACAACTTATAACATGCTAAAGGTCGGTTGCTTAGTAAAATTTTTGAGGGAGAGGATTTGTCACTCTCTTTGTTGTTGTTTTCCTTTTCTTTTTCTTTGGGTGAAAGCTACATTTTATGACTCATAACTCGACTCAGTCAGAAATGCTATGGGTTGAGGTTTATACTTTTTAATTGAGTTAGCAGGGATACTGGGGAATTTTAGGAAAGAGTGAGAGTGAGGTTTCATATAACTCAAAAGTATAAAAAATTTCTGTCAAAACATGACATCACTTTTCACGTTATAATTTCTATTATTTTAGTTTAAAATCTCTGTGTTGTCTTTTACCAGCATCAAATGGCATATAATTTTGTAGGTGTCACGCCACCTGTTTAGATGGACCAAAGAAATAACATATGCAGATTATTACGAGCGAGCCCTGACCAATGGTGTGCTGGGCATCCAGAGGGGAAGGGATCCTGGAGTGATGATCTACATGCTACCAATGGGCCCGGGACTTTCTAAGGCCATAGGCTACCATGGATGGGGAACACAGTTCGATTCTTTTTGGTGCTGCTACGGGACTGGTCTGTGATTGAAACCTCTTAAATATAAACCATTTTTTTTCCCTAAAATAAAATCTTTTTGCTTTTCAGTAAGTGACTTAAAAATGCCCAACAAACCCACCCCCCTCTCTCGTTTTTTTATGATACTAGTGGGTCCATGTTTTTGTCTCTTCTCATTGCTCCACCCAATTGATGATTTTTTTTTTTGTTCTGCTTGCCAAGGAATCGAGTCATTCTCAAAGTTGGGAGATTCAATATACTTTGAAGAAGAGGGAAAAGCTCCAGGGCTTTACATCATCCAGTACGTATCCAGCTCGCTTGATTGGAAATCTGGGCAGATATTGATAAATCAGAAAGTAGAACCTGTTGTTTCATGGGATCCTCGTCTTCAAGTGACACTGACAATCTCCTCGAAGGAGGTAAATGTTCCCATATAGAGAATCTAATATTGTTCTTAATTATATTAGATTATTTTCGTAACAGAGTTCTTAGTTATTTTATTATAAAACTGAAGCAAGAAACTCAAAAATTTCTCAGCAGCAGAACAAGGAACTGCCTCCATTATTCCTTTTACACCGTCCGTCTTTTAATTTGATGTGGGAGAAGTATCGTTCTAACTAGCATTCAATCTGGAAGTAGGATAAACTACCTCCATGAGAGTAATTTTGTGTTTATAACACGAGTTTTACTCTGTTGATGCTACATGTACAATTCTCCATAGTAATCTATCTCATTTCAGAAACCCTTTCTAGGTTACAATTTCCCTACCTTTTGATCATCTTACAGTGAAAAAAACATCATCTAATGATAAACTTTGCTATTTAGTCCACCTTTAAAGATATGAGCAGGCGGTGTCTCCTTTTTGTTGAGTGAGGTTGCACCCCATCTCTCTCTCTATCAATCAATCTCTCTCTCTCTCTCTCTCTCTCTCTCTCTCATACACACACACACACATGCATGTGCTCATTTTAAATAAACCATAAATAGATAAATAAACCATAAATAGATGCTGTCCGTGTGTGTAATAGTATAGCGTCTATAATTTCATTGATTTGATAAAGAGGTAGATACTATAACAAGTTAAACTCGTGAACATCATCATCTCGTCCATGTATTGTATGAAACAGTACAAAATCTAAACCATCTGATTTCTTTTGGCTAAAAATAAGACTAAAGGTAAGCAGGACACAAGAAGCTGACAACATTGAAAAAATTATGAATAAATTTTGGAGAAATGAAGGGGAATTCCATGTTTGAGGTAGTTTACCTTCCAAAAAATGAATAATATGTTTACTATTTTGCAGAATTTATTTATAACTGAAATTGTTGATGGGGTTATCTTAAGCAGAAGAAGCCGGAAAAAGGGAAAAAAAGAAGAAAACATTAATATTTAACGATTTATTAGCTATCTACTTGGATGCCAATGAGGAAATATAAAGTAGATATTGCAAATTTTCCAGAACGTAAATAAAATATTTTTTGGTGGGTAGATGTTGGAACCTTAATTTTGTAATCATAAGGTTCAAGTTTCTTCTCCATGTCTTCTGCAACCAAATAGAGCAAGACCTATTGAGTTACTCTTACTCATCTTTGTTCAAGTGCTTTGCTAGTTTCAGGGTTGTACAAAATTTTACAGATTCTTTTCTCATGCTTAATTTATGGATGCAGAAAGGGGCAAGTCCATCATCTACTTTAAATTTGCGAATTCCAAATTGGGCACAGGCAAATGGTATTAAGGCAACTTTAAATGGTCAGGGTTTGCCACCACCAACACCAGGTTTGAACTTCCATTTTCCTTTCTTCTATTGCCTTACTGTACTTTTCTTTTAAATATTATGATCGTTTTCACGTCACTCAGTATATCATTTTGCAAACAATGAAATAAAATAAATCTTGTGTTCCGTTATACCTTTTGCTTTTTGATGCTGACGTAAAAGTCCCTAATTATTGCCATCTTGATGCAGGTCAATTTTTACCAGTCACTAGACAATGGAACTCTGGTGACAAAATCACTCTTGAACTGCCCCTAAGTCTTAGAACCGAGGCCATTAAAGGTATTTTCTTTGGATGCTTACATAATAAATTTTAAACATTATGATGGTCAATATATATTGAACACAAAGTAAGATACTTTGTGTTAGGATTAAACTAACAAAAGGTTTTGACTGATGCTTCAGATGATCGGCCTCAATATGCCACCGTTGCAGCAATTCTTTATGGCCCCTACCTTCTAGCTGGTCTGACAAGCGGAAACTGGGACATTAAAAAAGGAAATGCCAAGTCCCTCTCAGATTGGATCACTCCGATTCCGGAGTCATATCATTCTAATTTGATTTCCCTCTCCCAAGGTTCTGGAAATACAGTATTTGCCCTTGCAAACATAAACCAAAAAATTGCAATGACGGCGTTTCCTTTGCCCGGCACTAATTTGTCTGTACCGGCCACCTTTAGACTTGTCTTAACGGACTCAGCTGCTTCCTCGAACTTTGCTGCACCAAAAGATGCTATTGGGAAATTGGTCATGCTGGAACCATTTGATTTTCCAGGTATGGTTGTTGTGCCGGCTAACGGAAACCTTATAGTTGGACCTCCCGGCAGTAATTCTGTTTTCCACTTTGCTGAGGGATTGAATGGGAAGCCCGGAACAGTTTCATTAGAGTCTGATAGCCAGAAGGGTTGCTTTGTGTATAGTGGGGCTGCAGGGGGAAAGCTTACCGCTGGTCAAACCATCAAGCTCCAATGCCAATCCGGGGCACCACCAGATGCTGGATTTAAGGAGGCAGCTACCTTTGTGTTGAATAACGGAATAAATGGGTATCATCCTATCAGTTTTGTGGCAAAAGGAGCGAACAGGAATTTTCTTCTCTCCCCTATCTTTAACTTCATGGATGAACATTATACACCATATCTCAACATCACAGCTTAAAAACTTCAACTACGCTTGAAGAATAGCACAATAAGATTTTTCTGTCCTCTGCTTCTGTAAGGTGGCAGTGGCAATTTTCCTTTTTAGCGCCAATTAGATTTATTATGTACATTGGCTAAGTTGCCCATGTGGGGTGTCTGATGTAATTAGTATACATAAAATGAATGTTGGTTTTAAAGCTTGTCTCTTTTCCTGGTATAATATTGTTCTACTTTGTAGTATTGATTCAAATGACACCACTTGTAATAGTTTTCATGCACATGCCTCTAAATCAATCATGTTGTTCAATGAACTTGAATCTTAATGAATTTATGAGTAATATTTTTGTATTGGTTAATTTCGGTGTCAAAATAAGTCTGGTTCTGTTGTAATTTGACGTATTATTCTTGGGTCTCGACGTTGGAAATGGAATGACAAAATTGAACGAAGTGAAGTGCGAGTTAAAGTATGTTGGTGAGGACACTCTGTATGTTGGTGAGGACACTTTGTAGTTTATTTTTAGTTTTAGGACTTTGAGACTTTTGAGTACAATTGGAAAATTTTCAGGTCTGTGTGATGATGGATTGGGCCAACTTTTATATACTGGTCTAATGTGACTGGGTTTTTTCGGATGTCCTACAGGCAAAAATGGACCGGTCCAATTAGCCTGGAACCAAAATAGATATTGCAGTTTTAGTCAAATTTGGATTTTGCATAAATTAAATTTGTTTTTCAAGTATATTTACTCTCTCTAAAATCTATATAAACTTTTTTTCTCCTAGGTTTTTAGGGTTTTTGAGCCTTTTGAGATTATCTTTAAAGTGTTTTTATATTTTCAATCTGAGAGCACATACTCTACCCGAGAGTGATTTAGGATAATTTTCTTTTTCTTGCTCGGGGTTTAAATCATCATTGAAAATCCAATCGGTTCTGTTCGGAAAAGTACGGTTTTGTTTTACCTTCTTTAATTCAGATTTGTAAAAAGGGTATTCGAGGAGTGTTAATTTTCTAGAGCGTTTGGATAGGGGAGTCACAAATAACCATTCTACAAGGATTAAGAAAGTCTAGAGCGTTTAGATAAGGGAGTCACAAAACCAGAGACATTTAACAATTAGTTTTTGGTAGAGCGAAGTGGGTGTGAGCTTGAGTTAGAGTTTGTTGTACTTTGCTTTGTGATAATGAATCGTTTCGCTTGGGACTGCGAAGCGAAAGTCTCCATGATTTTTCTCTTAGTTCATAATAATGGATCGTCTCGCTTGGACTGTGCACTCGCCAAAAACACCCTCATCAACAGTATATTACTCTCAAACAAAAATACTCAAGTTAGCTAAAGTCCAGTGTCACAATTCTGGCATCACTTTGATTCTAAAGCCAATCATCAAAACTAGGCACACAAGCAACATTAATATTAATATTATGTTGCTTAAATTACAATATTGAAATCAAATACAAGTTATTATCACTATGGGTAAAGCGGACCGAACCGATACTATGACTTGCTTAAATTACAATTGAAATTAAATATAAGTTATTATCGCCTATGGATAAAACTGATCCAACCATACAGTTTGGTCCGGTTTTATAATTCTAGTTTTAAAAAGTAAAGAATAGTTGATTACAGCGGTATTGATGCATTAGTAACGAAAAGGGCACTATTGGAACTTTCAATTTAAAAATAAAATAATTACATCATGTTGACTGAGTTGACCACTAAAGGACTCTTTATCAAAGGGAACTCCGTGTTACAAAGATGCTAACCTAACGAGCTGAAGAGAGAGGTTGGTGTAATTTGACAAACAAGAGGAGGGTCAATGTATGTTAATAAAAGCTTATATATGTGTATATATATATATATATATATATATATATATATATATATATATATATTACACGCCATAAACTTCGAATGTATAAGAGAACTGGGCACCCTAAGCCGAAACAAAAGGTTTGGTTAGAAGATCAGCCAGCAACCAAACAAAACAACCAGACCTAAATAAAAGGCCAAGCCCAAATCAGAAGAGGCCCAACTTAACAACATCACAAAGCCCACCCACCAAGTAACTAACTACCTATTACCTAAACCAGCTCAACTTGGCGGGAGAACATCAACACAATACACACAGCAGCCATGGGAGGTAGCTAGGTAGGTGAAGGAGAAAATGAGATTTATCTGGCAACCTCCAATCAGAGGCAATGGTTTCAGCATTTGGGACACTGGCATTGTTTCACGGAGAAAAGCCGAAGCCGAAGCCGAAGCCGAAGCCGAATACAATCAACAATGGCATTCAAGGTCTTCTGAGGAGGAGAGGATTTCTATTGGAAAGTCCGATTGTTCTCAATGTATGTTTCCAAACTAAAACTCTGCGGTACTTCAATTTTATGATGCCCAAATTTAAAAGTCACTCTAGCTATTAGGGTTTGTATAAAATCCACGCTTTTCTTGTAAACTATTCCAAATAATTTTTGAGTAGGAACATTGATGGAATAGGTGTTCATGACCATACATTGGGTTAAATCATAAAGTTCAGATCAGACTTGAACACGGACACACCCACTCGGGAGCTGGGCGATCTACCAACTAGGCGGTAATGCCTGGTTGAAAGGTTATCTTGAATGACCAACAATAGACAGAACGTTTATGCCAATGGGTGTTGGTATTGGTTGTGAGATAGCTCTAAGGGTGTGATGGGGAGTATCGAACTTGTTGGGTGAAGGGATCCGTTGGATAAGGTCACCGCTGTCGGGATTTGGAGGAGGAGGGAGATTGGTGATATCCCATCTAGGGGAAATGAGGTAATAGATGTGTCTAGGCCATAACCACAAATCACTGGACAATAGGGATGACACTTTAAAATATTTGTTGCTGTTCCAACCTTGTCTAGGATTAGGTGATAGTTCCTGAACCAGTGGTCCACATGGTAGCCAGTTGTCAAAGAAGACCATTCTCGATTCGCCATTGTTGACTTTATGATGCACAAGAGGTTGAGCTAGGATTCTGTTTCGAAGTAATTTTTCTTCAGAACCAAGAGCAACTGTTTGGTATCTTTAGCTCCCAGAAGCTCTTGCGCTTGATTAGGTGCTTTGCTGTAAATTTCTTCCACATGTTGTTGGTGTCATCAGTACATAGGGTCCAAATGTGTCTAAGAATTGCAGCTTTGTTCCACATTTGGAGGTCAAGAATGCCAAGCTGAATTGGACCCTATGTTCGGATTTTTTTTTTTTAATTTTTTCTTAGCTGGTACTCACACATACATGCATCCACTGAGGCTTGAAACCCGGACCTTCCTTTGGGAAGTAAGAGTCTGATACCGCTAGGCCACTGACCTCCCTTTAGGAAGAAAGAATGCCAAGCTGAATTGGTCCTACGTTCGGATTTAGTTTGTTTGTTTTGATTCAAGTCGAATTGAGTTAAAAAGTTTTTAGGTTCTGTCGTTTTATTTCTAGTTAGTACTCATTTGGTTCCATGGTTGACCCTATTTAGTTGAAAAAAATAAAGAAAAAAATACAAGGACGATTGATAACTCGAATTTGGTTCCAAAGTTGTACTTTAGGTAGGCCAGAGTTGTTGCCTGCATTCATGGTTTTGATGAAATAATGGCAGGTGCATTAGTAGATATTATAGAGGGTACAATCAGCAAATTGGACTTAAACTAACTTGAGTATGTTTGTTTGACAACTTGATTCAATTTGTTATCTTGAGCCAATATTGTGACGAGGCATTTGAGTGAGTTTTGCATCTTAATCTAAGAGATGATGGACTATTTATTAATTGATGATGAAGGTGTTCTCTTCACAATAGAACCCTAAATCTTATTGTTCTTTAATTTTTGTTATATTATATTACCATGTGCGTTTAGAATGTTTTCACTTTCTATTTTAGCAGTTACAAGAAAGTATATTATGTGATTTTGCTTTTTTCGGTGGAAACAAAAACCATAAATAACGTTTATTAACACCTGTTGAACAAATACAGAAATATCTTCTTTGTATCATCATTAATCATATTTTCTGCAAGGCATGCTCAATTTATCCCTCGTTCAACAAAGACAAGATGTAGGTGATCATAATAAGACAAGCTATATATACCAAACACTGATTTAATAGAGAAGAAAAAATAAAAAGATGTACTTGTTTGGAATGAAAAGTGTTTGTGTAGTAAAGCACAAAAAACACACATTTTACAAATACATGTACAAACATATTATATTTAGAATTTCATATCTACCAATATTATACCAGAAATAGAGACGGACTTAATTTTAAAACTAACATTTATTTTTTTTCATTTTTCCCAAAAAAAAAAATAAATAATTAAAAGCCAGCATACTTTACAACTTAGACAATGCACATAATAAATTTAATAGGATGCAGAATGACAGAAAAATCTTTATTATGCGCTATCACTTCAGTGATAGTTGAAGTTTTTAAGGATTGAACTTGAAGTATAGTGTATAATATTCATCCATGAAGCTATTAAATGGAGTGAGAAGAAAATTCCTTTGTGCTCCTTGGGCCACAAAACTAACAGGATGATACGAATGTGCTGATTTGCCCAACACAAAGCTCGCTGCATTCTTAAATCCGGCATCTGGTGCTGCCCCAGCAGCTTGGCAGCGGAGAGTGATGGTTAGAGTGTCGGAGTCTTTTACGGGAGCACTAGACACGAAGCAACCCTTCTGGCTACCGGACTCCAATGAAACTGTTCCGTCCTTCCCACTCAATCCCGGAACCAAGTGGAAAATAGAATTTTGAGTTTTTGTGCCGGGAGCTGCAACCATGAGGTCTTTATTAGTTCCTTGGTGTACCACAACACTACCTGGAAAATCTAGTGGTTCTAGCATCACCAATTTCCCAATAGCTTCTTTTGGTGTGAACCATTTCGGGGGACCAGCAGCTTCCTTTAGGATGAGTCTAAAGGTGGCGTCTATAGCCTTATTAGTGCGGGGCTGAGGCATGCTGGCCATTAGAAGTGTTTGTCCTTTTTTGGTTAGTGCAACCGTCGAGTCCCCAGAACCTTGGTGGAGGGAAATCAAATTAGCATGATATTGTGGTGGAATTGGAGTGACAATTTCTGAGAGGGACTTAGCGCTTCCTGTTCTTAGGGTCCAGTTTCTGGTTGTCATAGCAGCTAGAAGGTAGGGACCATAAAGAATTGCCTTAATGTTGTCATATTTAGGCCTTTCATCTGAAGCATATATCAGTTGAAAACTTTTGTTAGTTTCATCCCAAACACAAATTCACTTACTTTGTGTTCGATACAGGTACATTGAACATCATATGTATAAAATTTGTTATATATGAGAGCGTCCCAAGAAAATACCTTTAATAGCCTCAGTTCTAACATGGAGGGGAAGTTCAAGAGTGATTTTGTCACCCGAGTTCCATTGTCTAGTGACTGATAGAAATTTACCTGCAGCGTCATCAGGATGGAGAGAATTATGAACTTTAACCCAAGATTCTCAATTAACATTAAAAATATTTAAAAGACAGATACGGAAGAGAGGAAGATGGAAGTTCGAACCTGGAGTTCCTTGAGGCAAACCTTGACCATTTAAACTTGCCTTAACACCATTTCCCGATACCCAACCTGGAATTCGAAAATTTAAAGTAGATGATTGGCCTACTTTCTGCATCCATAAATTCAACATGGAATGCTAGTTAGAACCCTACTTCCACCACAACTTATTAACAAAATAACTAAAATAGTATAATAAAATAACTAAGAACTAAAAACTCTTTTATGAAAATAAACTAGTATAGTTAAAACAATATTAGATTCTCTATCTGCTAAGATGTACCTCCTTCGAGGAAATTGTGAAGTTAACTTGAAGATGAGACTCCCATGAATTAACAGGTTTGACGGTCTGATTTATAAAAATCTGCCCCATTTTCCAGTCAACCGTGCTCGATATGTACTGGATGATGTAAAGCCCCGGAGGTTTCCCCTGTTCTTCAAAGTATATCGAATCTCCTAACTTTGCGAATGACTCGAGTCCTTGACAAGCCAAAAAAAAAAAATGTTAGAACTGCATATTAACTAAATTGTGAAACCATAAGGGAATAGGAATGGAAAAAAAAATTGTATATATATGTCTACTTAGAGGTTTCAAGTCCAGACCTGTCCCGTAGCAGCACCAAAAGGAATTGAACTTATTTCCCCATCCATGAACGCTGTGGGCCTTAGAACATCCATGGCATAGTGGCTTCATGTAGATCATCTCTCCGGGAATCCTTCCCCTCTGGACGCCCATAATAGAATTGGTCAGGGTTCGCTCGTAATAGTCTGCATAGGTGACGTCTTTGGTCCATCTGAACAGGTTGCGCCCCACCTACAAAATTCAATTATATGCTGCTAAAAACACATTCTCGAGAGAGTTAAAAGAATATTTAGATGAATCAAGTTATGAGTCGTAGAAATGCAGACCTTCAGCATGTTATAACTCGCGCATGTTTCTTCGTTTTCAGTTGACAGAGTGGTCGCCATTCGCCTTGAGGGCTGCCTGCTCATGGCCGGGTTGCGCAAATGAGAAACAAACCAGAAATCACATAGGAAATTCAGCAGTAAATAAGTATGAAGTTTGAGCTGTTTCTACCAGAACTCGTTTTGTGATGTCCCTCCTGTTGCATAGGCGTGAGAACTGTTGACAATCTCCATGAAGCTCTTCGCGATGTCCTGCCATGCAAAATCATAAAACAATGATGATGAATCGTACAATATTAGATTTTCTCTGTGAATTTATCTCTTAAGTTTGTGGATTTAAAGTTGTTCTTTGTTCTAACGTTTCATAGCTTCCCCTTTGTCAAATGATACAATTAAAGCCATTGTTCAGCAATAGAGATGATTGATCTATTTCTTCTGATTGTGTAAATAAGATAAATGGTTTATATTGAATTCTTAATAAAAAGAAATATATTTATATATCTTTTATATATGCATTAGTACATATATGTTATGTGTAAATACTGCAATATGAAATTTTTATATATGAATTACATTCTGATTGATAATAGTTGGATGAGATCATTATAAGGCCAGGGTTGAAATGAGTTATATAGCCATTTACCTTGTAAAGTGGATCACCAGTAATTTCATACCCTGTTTGAACTCCAACAACAATTGGAATGTGTGTATTGGTATGAAAACCAGATAATTCATCAGCCTACAAATGAAAGACTTAAATTTAGCAATGTTATTTGAAAAATAAGAGTAATATAGACGATATGGTTCATTTAAATAAATAATAATAATTTATTGGTAAGAAATTTTATGTGAGTAGACATTAGTCCTATGGGAATTTGACAGTTGATAAATTTAATAGACATCAGTCTCTACCTACATAAATCAGTAGAGTTGTCGAACTTTCAAACTCAAAATCATTAATCATAATTCATTGGTTGGAATTAAGGCTATCTTACCTGTAGTGCAAGCATTGCAAGGAAACAGGGTTTGTCAAAAAGACGAGCCATCAATAAATGCTTTCTATTTTTCTGCACATGGTCACAGATAAAAGGATAATATCAGAACCAGAAGTTAAAATATATTTGATGCTAGAAGTTAAAATAAAGTGATAAAAAAAAAAAAAAAAAAATTTCCTCATTGTGTGGATCATATAAGAAAATTTTGTCAATTTTAAAGATCAAAATACCTTAAATACTCTTAAGATAAAATAAAAATATAAATGGTTAAAATTATTCTAAAAGAATGAGAATGTGAAATATTTCATAAAACATAACAAATACATTCAACAATTATCTCTACATGGTGTGGATGAATTTCTTACTTATCGATGAACAAAAAATCATTTTCATTATATATATATATATATATATTCAAGAAACGATTAAAATTATTCTAGAAGAATAAGAGGTTACTCACCGTTATGCCGAATATCTGGTAAAAGAGTTCATTCAAGCCACCATATTCCATATTCAAAATGTTATAGTGTCTTTCTATTGTGTACATCGATATCACATTCTGCGTACGCTTGTAGAAGTATTCCACCATCCGAAGCAATATTTTAAAAGCTTGTTCATTTCCCGCCAATTTGTATTGATCCAACAGACCTGCCATTACCTATGAATACCAGACTAAAAAAACATTAGTACATACAGATAAATCCTCTCCAGTGGAAAGTAGTTGGTAGTGATGTACCTTACCAAAATGTTAATATGAGACCGAACATCATAATATTTTTGTAACGCACGCACTTCACTTATTAAACGGGACAAGACACTAAAAAGCTACGCAGGAGAAATGATATTAAAATTCTATTGACAGTAATACAGTAATGACCTTGTGAAGGGTGTAGTATGGTGCCCAAGCATACTCTATCTGTTCAATTCTGTCGAAAAGCTCCTCCTCGAAAGCAGAAAGATACCCTGTACCGATTTTATCCTGACAGACCGCGAGCGCGGAAACTACTGCAGTCATCTGCTCTTTCACAGAATTATTATGAGTGGTCGCCCACATTAAAGCTGAAGCACTCAGGTAATGCCCCACAAAATGGCCGCGGAGTTCGCCATTCTTGTTCGGTCGCTCCCAACCTCCGTACGGCTTGCCTTTGGTGGGCAAATCAGCCGTGTCCCGAAAGCTCCAAACCAGGCTATCAACATCCAACATCAACATGTAATCGAGGTTCGTCTGCTGAGCCTGCCAATAAATCGAGTTAGGGTCCGTAATTCTCACATCGTGAAGAGACACGCCCTGGAGGGTATTCGGCCTCTGGAACCCTGTGGAATTGTAAACGTTCCTCATTTTCGCGGGCAACAGCTTCCAAATATCCTCCTCCGTCAATGGCTTTCCGGTCGGAAAGTAACTGGAGGCGGACAACAACGCATCAGGCCCGTCCAACACATCTCTTCTGTAAACATCGTATTCCTTCAACAACTCCTCCTTCCATGTTTCATTTGCCGAATCGCCGTACTGTGCTCGAATTGATATGCGACCAAAATTGTTGACACACTCCTTACCCAAAGCGCGCACACACAAAAGAGATAACACAACCCCTGCAACCGAAAACATCATCACCATGGAAGACTTCATTGTTATGCACCATAACAATGAAGATAACAATGATGATGATGATGATGATGATGGGTGGTTTAAGCTACAACAACAATTTATGTGTTTATATATAGATATATATAGACCAATTTATATTTATAGACTTTACCATAAAACGAAAAAAAAAAGCAAAAAAAAAGTGTTTATATTTATGGAGATCAAATCATGAATCAATGAACCTAATTTGGGATGATAAGAATGGTTTCTTGCTAAATAAATCAACATTATCTAAAACAGAGTTGAAACAGAATAGATATTCTATTGTTGGTGCATGAGAGATTACTAATTATAATAGTGAATTGACAGTGACAAGGATAAAAATTGAAGTAGAAAAAAAATTTGTGGAAATGAGTTTAAATTTGTCAAGAACAACGGCAGTTATGTATGTGCGCGCGTGCATATATATATATATATATATATATATATATATATAAGTACAGTATATATCAATCAACTAATTGAAGATAAACAAAAAGCAGTGTATATCCTGTTTTTATGCCCTTCTTATATTAGAACTAATTATTTGCAATTATAATTACTATGCAAATATTGATTTTTTTTTTTGGCAAAACCAACTTATTGATTGTTGAATCATGTTTAATATTTTTCTAAATAATTGATATTTTTGGTTAGTTAAGTTTATTAATTTTTAAACTATTAAATAATTGGTCTCTAAAAGTATAAGAAAATTAAGTTGGACGTTACCTTTGCTTTCTTTTCTTTTTGTTTTTTAATTACTAATTTCTTGAATTTGTTTTCTTATAAGCATTTTGTACTTCTCCTTTCTCTCTCTCTATGAATATATACCTGTATGTATACATATGTATGTATGTATATATATATATATATATATATTTGCGTCTCTCTATATATTTTACATAATACATACTGTCACTTCTCTCTCTCACGGTTTCATACCAATTTTATCTCACTCTCACTCTCACTCTCACTCTCACACATACTAAGATTTAGGACTCCTGGGGCCTCTTTTGGTACACACGAATGTAATGGGCTTTCCAATCATTCATTTGTTTAATTGGTATGAAATTTTTAAAAGTGAAAATGACCATTTCCTTGGAATTAAAATTCATTCCAATGAATAAAAGTCCATTTTACAACTAAACTTATAATATGATCATTCTATTCCCAAATAATTTAATTTAATTTAATTTAATTTAATTTTTTTTTTATTATAAAAAAATCACGTTGCCAAACCCTTCACCTTTCATGTCCAAAACCACCCATTCTACCGCCGCAACCACCACCACTACCACCAACTCCACTACCTTCCACCACCGCCACTTCCACCATAGTCACTGTCACCACTATCGCTACCTTCCACCGCCACCACCACATTATCGCCGCTGTCACCACTACAGCCGCCTCCACTGTCTTCCACCATCGCCACGACAACCTTTGCCTTCCACCATCGCCACCTGCATTGCCTTCCACTATCGCCATTGCCACCACCGTTATCACTACTCTCACGGCCTTCACCTACACTATCATCACCACCACCGCCACCTCCACTGCCTTCCATCACTGAATACACCATCACCACCTTCCACCACCACCACCACCCCTGCCACCTTCCACCACCACCACTGCCGCCTTCCACCACTGCCATATATTACTACCACCAGCTTCCTCCACAACCACCGTCGCCACCTTCCAACACCACTGCCACCTTCCACCTCCACCACCATCGTTGTCGCCATCCACCATCGCCACTATTTTTTTGAAAAAAAAAAATTTCATTAATTTAAATTATAGTGGTATTTTGAAATTTTCAATTTGAAATTCATTCGATTCTAGATTTTAATGTAATGACCCAGATTTTTCTAGATTTTTTCGAGGTTTTTTTCTTTTTTTTTTTTTTTTATATTATTTATTTTTTGTGCCTCGTTTGCATGCTACACGGACCCCGAGGGCCGTTTAAGTCATTTTTTGAGCCTAGAGTTTTAGAAATGCATTTTTATTTATTTTAAGCCAATTAGAACTGACATGATTATTTTTATAATTTTTCGAGGGCTCGGGAATTCCTTCCGATTTTGCCAATTGCATTGAGGGGCATTGTAGGTACTTCACTCGAATATATATATATATATATATATATATATATATATATATATATAACTAGTAGAGGAGATATTTTGTGGGACAAGTATGGTATTGAGATAGAAGAGGGAGGGCATTATGGTAAGTTTGCATAAGTTAGTAACCACCTAGAGGTTGACACTTGGCAAAAAGAGGGGCCACACACACATTTAGAACTTGCCAAACCTCTTCCTCTTCCTCCCATTCTCGGCTAACTTTTCTCTCTCTCTCTCTCTCTCTCTCTCTCTCTCTCTCTTTACATTTTCTCTCTCTCTATATATTCATTTACTACATTCTTTAATCCATATTTTGAGAGCCCTAAAGTGAGATTTAGGCTTAGACCAAAAAGAGAGATTGGTTCTACTCATCAAAGGCTACGTTTTAAGATCAATCTTGCTACCGTTTAGGGGAATTCGAAATTTGGTGTGTCTTAGGGCTTGTTTGGCTAAGCATCTTGAGGTAAGGGTTTTCTAAGTCCTTAAACTTTGCCTTTTATTGAGAACTACTATCATGTTTTTCCTTTAATTCCATGTCCAATGCTGCATCATAATTTTGGTGCTAGATGAAAGATAATGATGTGTTTAAGTGTTCAAAGCATGCATATATGGAACAAATGTATCATTCTATGTTGAATGTTAAGTGCTAGCATGATTATGTTATATTGAGTTATATAAAGAGCATGCTTGTAATTAATTGTTGGAAAGATGACATGCTTGTATTTATTTTGTGGAAGGTTACTATGCTTGTGCTTAGTCTTTGAAAATGCCATGTTACGATCACGTTATTTAAAATGTTATGGTTATTCAATTGTTGCTTTGTTGATGAAAATAAAGATAAATGATGAAATTGACGTATATGCATGGCATGGGGGAAAAAGGGAAATGTGAAAAGGGTTTTGAAATGGTTTTTATAAAAAGAAATCAGATTTTGCGAGTCCAGTGTTAACTTGACCTAGAGGGAACGTGTGTCGAGTTAGGACGCATAAAGTTGATTATGAGGCTCTAAATGGTCGTCAATGTAGAGGCCAGGGATAGCTAATCAATCTCGCCTCGGTAATGTCTATTAGCGTTTTCGGTGTAAGTTAGGGTCGGTAGAGACCAAAGATGGGAGATATGGTGCATTGCATTTCATTTTATGCACAATTTTATTAAAATGTATAGTTTTCATTGATGAAATGTTACTTGTGATAAAAATGTGATAAAAACCCCAATGCATGATCCCGGTTTCCTTTTTATCCTTTTGTGTATTATGTGGCTCAAGGGAGTCCAAAGTTGACGTCTTAGGCGACTTCTACTGAGCCTCTGTGCTCACCCCTTCTTTTAACATTTTTTAAGTCACAACAAGGAAGTGGTTGATGACATTCCTCCACAAGTGTAGTAGAGATTGATGAAACCCTCTTTTGTATTTTTGTAAACAATGCTTAACTATGACGATTATTTTTTGTAAAGATGATGTTTTCCTTTTAATGTATAAGGCATTGTATTTAAGACCTTAAGGGTCTTTAACTTGTAAACTTATTCTTTTGGGATGTTATTTGTATAATTTGGGTATGTAAGTGATGAGGATGATAACTATGTTTTCACTTTAAAGTTTTGGGACGATATGCAATTTAATGATGTATTTTGAACCATTATTGTAATACCACTAATTTTCTGAAATTTATTTAATTATTTTAATTGCATTTTTATTTATTTATATGACTATTTGTGTATGTGCTTTTATATTTAATTGTGTGTTTAATTGATTAATTATTTTATTTGAATTAATTAACTTAATTTATGTTGGCTAATTGTATGTGCATTTTTATTCGCTTCCATGTGATGTGTTTGTGTGATTGAATTGTTTTTAAATGTTTAATTGAATTAGGTAAATGACTTGTTTATTTTATTTTATTTTAAGAATTTGGGTTATACCTTATGGACCAACTAGATGGGTCTTGGACTATTTGTGTGAGATCCTAAATGGGTTAGATAGTGACCTATGGGGATTAGTATATATATATATATATATATATATATATATATATATATATATAATGAGGTGTATATATATCTATATTATTTTCATTAAAAATAATGTTTGTCATTTGTGAGTATACTTGGGAAGTTTGGTGTGGTTTAGCTAATATGTTCCATTGGAGGGTCCAACAACAGAATGGTGTGAGAACTTTTACTAATGATATGGGACAACAGTTTCATGTCAAGTCTTGTAGGAATAAGGTTTTCAAATGCTATTCACAGTTACTATGTATTATATTTGGAATGAAAGGAATGGTAGACTTCACAATGAGTTAGTTAGGGCTCTTTCCATTCTCTTGAAATGTATTGTTTAGGATGTTTTAGATATTGCAAGTGTATGTCTCCAAGAAATTATAAGTTAGTTAGGGGTTTATGGTTATTGCAGGGCTTGTCTGCACTTCTTTAGGCTTCTATGTGTGTGTTTCAGTGAGGTTGTTTTAACCCCACTTACTTCTTTGTACCATATTGTTATATGTTTATAAAATTTTCTTCATTTAGGAAAAAAAATGTTTTATTAAATTAGTTACCTAGTTTGAGATTCTCAGACGTATGTTTATAAAATAGGTAGTATATTTTATCTATATATATACATAGAGAGTAGATCTAAAAAGAGAAAAAGAGAAAGCTAGAGAGAGAAGGAAAAATAAGAAAAAGGACCATTAGAGAAGAAGAATAAAGAAGAAGGAGTTTAACTTTCGATCCGAAAGTTTAAGGCAAGTTCTTTGTTCTACACTTCTCCCTTAAATCTATGATCTATATGTTTCTAGTATAACTTTAGGGATGTTTAAAGGACTGTTAAAATTGGAATCCATGTTTACATTGAACTAGAACATAGGTTTATATGAGTTTTATGTTCATGGTTGTTTTTATTGTATAAATTAATAAATTCATGGCTTAGATATGATTTTTGGTAGATTTCTACATGCTATAATGATGTATTTTCATGCTTGTGTGTTAATGGGACTTAGTAACATGCTTTAGGATCCTTAACAATGGAGAACATGGATTAAAAATGGATTTCTTAGGTTGTTTCACGAAACAGTGCTCGAGCACAATGTTTTAGGAAACAGTGCTCAAGGACGCCTGGGAGTGTGCTTGAGTACACTAAGGAGGGTGCTTAAGCACCCTCTGGGGACTTTTGGGAAAAAGGCTATTTTTGACCCCGAATTGATTATTTAAGGTACCTAGTACTAAATAGGAACTTAGGTATGATGATATGTGAATTTAAATAGGCATGAATACAACGCTGCATGCAATTTGAATTTAGTTATTGATGATGGATGGATTTAATCTTTTAATTTGCTTTGACAATTGAGATTAAATGTTTAGTATGAGATGTATTTGGAGAATGCTTACTTGGCTGTAAAAATAAAATATTAGCATACTTAAGATTTAGTTTATGTGAGATAAATGATATAGGAAGTTTAAATAAATTATAAGTCATTCCTATGTTTTGATAACATGAAATGTAAGGTTATGTGCTGTTATGACATGATATGATTATAATCAATTTCATATCTATATTTTATAATCTTGAAACATGAAATTTGGATTTGTTTGAGAACCAATGTCAGGATTTGGTTCTATGTAAGCACCATTGTCAGGATATGGGGGCATATTATGGATGAGCTGGCAAATAAACTCATTCTAGGTCAGGCTATTGTCAGGATATGGATGACATGCCATTATTGGGATATGGCTATTTTATATTTTTTTTTATAACTTTCAGCCTATTGTCAGGATATGGGTATTGTTGTTATCTGTTAACCATTGTCAGGATATGGTTAATTATATCTATAATGATATTATGTGTACCATGATTCAAGCTTGACGTCTTGGGATCAGTGGTTAGGATGGAGGCGTATATTGCCAATTGAGATGGATAGCTAGATTATGGATGTGTGTGCCCTGGTAGAAGGAGGACTCGTGACCACCTTTGTATACGATTTGCATGAGATACCCACTACACGGTTGAGGCTGCCTTAATTCAGTAAGAGTTTTTAGTGTGTATATTTATATACTTATCGATCTATGTAACTATTCTATGAGTTAGCTATAGATGTGTAATTTTCTCCGGTCTCTGTTTAGTTGTCGTAAAAAAGAGTTGTTATGGGTTTTGACTTACCATTGTTATATTCTTTTTAGGTCCTTGTTAGATAGTAGGACTAGCAATTGTTCATGAAGATTAGAGACTTGGCATCGTCACTTTTCAGGTGTCGCCGACGTAGGATTCTATCTTCTGATTAGTTATTTCAGTTTTTAGACATTTATTTATTTTCATTGTTGGGATTTTATCAGGGGTCCATATTGGAGGATTCTCGAGTTGTATTCTTTTGGAGGTTTAATGGATTTTATTCAAAGGATATTATTTCATTTATTTATTAATTTTTCCCTTCAGCAATATTACTTATTTATTATTTATTCT